GACAAGAAAAAAAAAATTTTTTTTTAATCGGTTCTCAGCTCGAAAGCTTTCATTTCATGCTAAAAGAAGATATCCTTAAATTTTCATTAAAAAATATTAAGATTTAAAGATTATTAATGAACGAAAGTTCAAAGTTTCGATTTTCCTTAATACATGTTTAATTTGATGCAAAAATGACTTAATTCGGATTTTAAATGTAGTACTGTATGTTTTTTTAGTCGCTGAAAATAACGCAATAATTCATTTAGTACGCCTTAATAAATACAGCCTGATTAATGAGAAAAAAATGATCAAATTTTTAGTTCAAGATCGATTTTAGCAATGTTCCAAGCGTTCAAATGAATTGTCTCCCCTCAAATTATAAGTCTGTTCTTCCAAAAATCCAGATGGAATTTTCCTGGAATCTTCTACAGAGCCTTTAAAAGTTGTATTTAATTGGATAATAAAACTTTGATTTAAAAATTGTTCACAGCGACTTCCATATTTTAAATGAAAACATTTTAAATAAAATATAATTAAAAAACCAACATTAAGAGGAAATTTTGTATTATTTTTTTGTATTACTGATTTCTTGTTTCTCAAACAAGAAATCTTTAATGCACAAAGGCCTAAATTCCAATAAACTATTTATATAGAATGAATAAATTAAATTTCACATCTTGTGTTGGCTCTAAAAACTATTATTATTGTATTGATTTACGTCAATTAAGCCTTAAAAAAAAGATCTATTTTAGTTATATTATAAATGAATATATTTGATTCATTACAAAGTGTTTCATGATATAATTTATAATAAACAACAACCACGCACACATTAGACAAAACATAATCTTATTTTTATTACAGAAATAATAGAAGATACTTTCTAGATAAGAAATTATGTGTGTCAACTTGTAAGTACAAAACCATGAATCTATTTGTTTGTTTAAGTAATTATTGCATATTAATATAGTATCTTTAGTCATGTTTTGTCAATAAAAATGATGCATAGTTTATCAATGATTTTAATATCTGAAAATAATAATTATTTCTATTTAATGACATTTGAGAAATACGTTCTCAATATCAATTCTTATGTAAGAAAGACCGAGGTTAGTAGAGAGCCAAATTATTTTTTAATTATTATTTATATATACTCTCCATTTTTTATTTTGATTTTGATTCAGATATTCATTTGGCCTTTCTAAAAGATTAGATATTATTGACGAATCGTTTTATATATGTAAACCGAACTGTGAGCAAACAGCATTTTCATTATATAACATATGAAAGACGGTTTCTTGTTTATAAGCTTTATTAAAAAAAATTTTATCATTAAATATAATCGCCTTTATTTTTGTAGCATAAATGTATGTGACTTAATAAAAGTCAAATTTCCGTCAAATTTTTTCCATGGAATGGAAAGCTATTTCTTAAAAATAATAACAAATTATGAATACCAATCAAAGATTGCAGATTAAATATGCAAAAATTATGTCATAAATAGATTCAAAAAGTAACAACAAGGATAACTGTAAAATTTATTACCGAAAAAATATAATTACCGTTACAATTATAAAAAAAAAACGCTTAATAGTCTTAATTAATAGTCTGATACAAAACAAAGTAACTTGTAAGCTTGTAACAGTAATGGTATAATTATTTCCATTCCCTAGTTATTTCTGCGAACTCTGTTTCTGCAAAAAAGTTGATAAATATCATTATATTATATATTTACATATATTTAATAATATAATTAATGAGCTATGAGATACATGAATAAGAACTTTATTTTTGTTTTGATAACAATTAAATACTATTGTCTGATACTCGTAATTATTTAGATGCAAACACATTGTTTTTTTTATTAATCACATATTAATATATCATTATAATCTTCAACCACGTGTTGTCAGTAAAAACGATACATAACCACATGATGTCTTTAGTATCTAAAAAATTATTTTTATTTAGACAAATAATAAAATAGTTAACAGATATTAACTAAAAAATATTTTGAAATGATCTTTTTATGTCTACATATATCATAAAAGTCAGAATATTGACTAATAATGATTACTTTATAATTTGCACATATAAATATTTTTTTAAATTTAATACATAAATGTAGCATATGTTATTATTACATGTATAATCAGTAAAAAGAGGAGTGTAATCTATAGAAACGAGGAGCACTTTTTAATTGATATGTTGTCAAGATTATGACATACTGGATTATGATATACTGACTGGCATTGAAATTTTTGTCATTTAAAAATTAGATTGAACATATGAGGATGGGCATATGAAATAGTACGTTTGTAGATCTCATTTCGTGTGAAAGTCAAAAATTCATGTGAATCAGTACAATTGTAGATTGTAGATCTCGTTTCGACTTAAAAGGAAAAGAAAGAAGTGATGGATCCCGTTTTGCATTCAAAAAATAATGCATAATCACAATGAATTTCTTTTTTTGAAATTATAAGTTTTATATTATCCATGTATCCATTAAAAGATAACATATTAATTAAAAGTTTTGGTGTAGATATTAACTGTTTCATTATCTGTTTAATTATTAATTTTATTAAAATTGATATAAGTACTTCTCAAAACTCATTTCGTGAATGTTCTTTTAATAAGGTTTAAAATTAATAAGATTTAATAAAGTTTAAAAAGTTAAAACTTTCTCAAGGTCAATTAGATCGTGACCTTGACAACATATACCAAGATCATCCTGTCATTTTCATTTTTATTCTTTACAGTCTAAAACGGATACATCAGTCAATATTTTGAATTTTATCATATATGTATCAAAATTAGTAATGTAATATGTTCACTACAATAAATATTTATATTTGCTAATTATATTAAACTGACAATTATTAAATGAAATTTTTATTTAAAAAATTACAAGTGCACGTATACAGGGTATCCGATTGTGATCGCATCATCTCTCAAATAGAGTGGACTAAACTAATTGTAAGTGAAAGTCCTATATCATTTTGCAATTTTCGCAATAGATAACAAAAAGTTAATTATTAATTGTCGAATAAGCGATTTACTACTAAATGCATGGTTATTACCATGCACAGAAATATTGCAGCAACATTGTAAAAATATTGCCAAATATTGCTGCAATATTTTCAGCAACATTGCAACAACGTAAAAATGTCCGTTTTAAAAATATTAATACGTAATCTTGCAGCAATATTACAACATAATATATATGCAATATTAGGTTTTGTGCACAATGGAGGAATACTTGCAGTATTATTGCAGAAATATTGTAATAATGCAGTAACATTGCTGTAATATTACAATGTTACTGCAATATTTATTATAAGATTTTGTACTATATAAATTTAAATATAAAAGATTAGAAGTAGGGGTAAATGTAACATGCAATGAATACAAATAAAATATGACTTCATAATTAATTATGTCTTTATATTTTATAGGTGTTCTGATATACTGTCAGTACTGAAAATCCATAAAGTATATATAACGTGAACTATAAATTTTCAGTACTGGCTGTGCATACTTCTACTTCTAATTTTTTATATTATACGTCTTATATCTTATTATTGTGTTTGTTGTGCATTATATTTAATCCTTACTTCTAATTGTTTTATGTCTGTAAATTATAGACATAATTCCTATAAATTATAGACATTGATGACGTTTATATCTTATGTCCGTTTCCACTAATGTAGATTAACTTTAATCTCGATTCGACTTACTCTTTGTCTTTTTTTAATCTTTAGAACTAGAAAAAGACGAAGAGAAGTTGAACTGAGATTAAAATTAATCTATATTAGTAGAAATGGACATTAATCGGATTTAATAATATTCATAGTAGAAACTAATCATTCATTCCATTTTTCAGAGGAATATAGTTATGAGATTGGTCAGTTTCATAATTACAGATGTTATGAAACCCGATTAAGTGCCTTGTAAACGTGATCATTAATTCCTATGCTTCCATTATATACAGGTTCTTATTTTATTGCGTTATACACAAATCAATATAGTCACAAACAAGTCTTAACACTCAAAATGAATTTTCTAGCAGAGGCATAAATCGACATAGTGACAAGAGTCATTCTTGTCTTTGTTTCTTACTAATTTTTGAATAAGGACAGGATGACTCTTGTGTCAATTTGTGTCTCTTGCTGAAAATATTTTAAATGCTGTTGCAACATTGTTAAAGTAATATTGCAAAAAGAAATCTTCACAATGTTTCTGCAACATTGTATTGCAATATACAACATTGAAATGTTACAGCAATATTGCTACAAGTTTCTATGCTGTACGGGGAAGCATGTGAGGAGTTATTTACTACAGACAGCAAGTATTCTAGGATGCCCTGACGCATTCGCGCGCGCGCGCGCGTGTGTGTGTGTGTGTGTGCGTGCATGCGTGCGTGCGTGCGTGCGTGCGTGCGTGCGTGCGTGCGTGCGTGTGTGTGTGTGTGTGTGTGTGTGTGTGTGTGTGCAATTTTCGACCTGATTATGAATAAAGTCCGAAGCTATCCAACTTTCGATTTTAGTGTGTTCCAGTTTAGTATGTTCCAGTTTTCTTAGTGATAACGGTGACCGATGTGGAGAGAAAGAGCAGGGTGGAAAAAGAAGTTGCATATGAAAGTAAAACAGATTACATTAAACAATAAGGAGTAAAATTATAACGAGAAAATTCTAAATAATCTTACGCTGCAAAAAGTAACCATTGTTAATGGAAAAATCTTTCCTGCAGTGAAGTGAAAAGGGCGTTTGGCTCGCATTATCAACACAATAAAATTTCTTGCGTTTTTTGATTCCAGTTTGTACCATTTAAGATCACACATCACACGATATATTGCATTGCACTTGAATATTATACGTACATATAAGAAAACATATTAATGTCCATGTCATTTTAATCAGAAATATTTCTGGCAGGAACTCGAATTGAAGTTACATTCCGAATTAAATTTTCGATTTGAATAAAGTCCGAAGCTATCCAACATTCGATTTTAGTGTCGATTTAGTGTATTCCAGTTCTCTTAGTGATAATGGTGATCGTTACAGATATATATGGTAATTACCAAACATCGAAACTGAAAGAGAAAGAAAAGAACCAAAATTCAAACCGTGGTAACTGTTATAGTAAAACGAATGGACCAAAAGAAAGAAAGAGAAATTGGATTTAGCCTCGGATCATTATCTAATTCGAAATTTTCAGTCCGAGTCCCTAATTTCCAAAAATATTAGTAATAATTAATTGAGACTTAATTAATTTCTTAATTTTTCAACGTAAATGAGTGAAGCATTCCATATTCGGTCAAGATAAATCTTGATACCTAATAATATATTGTATAAATTTTTTGAATTTCTAATTTAAACAAACTGTGCACTAATTATTTGGAGATCTTGAAACACAATCTTAAACGGAAACTGGAGTAACATAATAATATAAATATAATTATAAATTGATAAACAATTCAATATTATTGATGTTAATAAACTTTAGCGTATTGTAAATAATTTAATTTTTCATTACAAATTGTAAATTAAAATTCACATAATATGTAATTAAATACCAATATTCACCTTGACTGAATGTACAGACTTAATGCAAATCTCAATTCATTATTATTTAATATTATTTCTATCCTTTGTCCAAATATGACTTACTTGGTCCATTACAAACTCTCCCGCTTCACAATAGAGAAAAGTATTTATCAATAAAAAAATAAAAAGCATTATCGAGTAATATCCTTGCGCGATAACAGTTTTATCTATTTTTCCGTCAGTAAGTATCTAAAATTTTATAAATTATAAGAAGATAACGAAGTGTAACGCATACATTAATATATTTTCTTATGTTTTACTAAAACTTACAATAGTAAGTAAAAACCCACTTAGGCAAAATACAATACAGAAATGTAACATTAATATCAACATCATTGCAGAGTATGTATTTTCGATATTGTCGGCAAATCTGCAAAAATAAGAATATTTAAAATAATTATCAAATTAATTTTCAATAATTTTTTCAATTCTATTTTGTTAATTGTCATATACGATGATAATAAAAATTCATACCTGATAAGACGTAAATGGGTAGCCACAATATTATTTAAAACTTTATTGAAATTTTTGCATGAAATCAAATTAATTAATCGACATCTAAGATTTTCTAACTGGCCACAAATGTGAAGAACTGTTAGTACTAGAAAAAAATCTACACACATATAAATAGTACCTCCTAATAAGGCCGTCAAACTATGAATGAAAAATGTTAATTCAAATTGCGGACTCTTATCCGTACTGTAGAAATTATACGTCTTCAACGGTAACAGTTTACGCACACCCGTGATATTTGTTACGTATATTATTTGAATGCCAAAACAAGGTAGAGTAATTACTGTAAGAATCATTATTACCACGAGAACATATCCAATCATCATAATTAATCGCGCTGTTTGTGCTCGTTTTATCATCACATCTCTTTCTCCATCCAGTTTGAATGCCATCCAATCTTCCGCCATCATATTTACAATTGACAAGAGAACTTAAAAATATAAATATATACGAAATCTATCCCAAAAGTATCCAATCTTTGCGTATATCTTTGCTCTTGGGCATTTTCTCTCTCCCTTTATTGTAGAAAGTAGATTCAGTATTTAGAAGGAATTTTGAGTAGTACATCCACCAAGCATGGACCCAACAGTCGGCAATGGTAGTTGCCACAGTTATGTAAGCTTCGAAGATTCCGAGCGTGGCATTTTCATATTAACATACCTGCTCATTCATCTCACTTAATTCGGAATTTTTAGACTAAACACGGAGTTGTCCAACTTTGACAACATCTGTATAGTCCAGGTATAGCCTCGTATGAATTCTGGGTATTTTCTAAGTTCAAAAAATCTATTGGAAAAAATATTTGACGATGTAAAGAAATAAATTAATTGCGATGCTCAGAGTATTCGACGCTCATTATACTGCGTACTGTTGTCGACTAAATAACTGTTGGATCGTGCTATTTATTGATGGGAGTACTTCTCATGGTCCTTTACAAATATTGAAAACATTTTTGGAGAGAGAGAGAGAGAGAGAGAGAGAGAGAGAGAGAGAGAGAGAGAGAGAGAGAAGATGCCCAAAGCCAAAGACATATGTATGTAGAGGTTAATTAGATATTTCTGATGATTGATCTCGTATACATATAAAATTTAAATATTGTTAAAGTAAAAATATCGTTAAAATATTGAATTATTTAAATATATTGTTTATAAATTATCATAAAGAGAGAATCATACACACGCTTTATATTTTATTTCCATATACTTTGGTATATAGGAGTAAATCATAAATACAATTTTTGATTTCTAATGTTATAATTTACAATATATTTGTCATTATAATTAGTCATTATATTTATAATATGATTTAGTAAATCTACGGAATATAATGCTAAACATTTTATAATTTTGAACATACCTGTTTGTTTCCGTCGAAAGATAACGTATTTCATTGATATTATCAATTGGGGTAACGTTGTATGTAAATTATCTATCACAAGTATCATATTACCCCAAACTTCTATAACCGCACATATCATCGGAATATTAGAAACAAATATTAATAAAATAAAAACTATGCCAATCCAAATTTCTGGCCACAAACTTTTTTTAGTACATTTGTTGGATTTAGGCCATAAGCCCACCATTTCGAAACCTAAACGATGTAGATTAACTGCCCACATGAAATCTAATAAATTTTTATACCATATAAGCGACTAAATTTGGATAAAATAATGACAAATTAATACATAAATAATTAAACAATTATACGAAAATAAATAAACTGATGCATAGAATAGAGATTAATCATACGGCAAAGCCAACAATACCAATTTTATTCGAAAAAAATCGTTACAATCGGACACAATACTCGCTTTATAAGAATCATTCGCATAGCATGTATTTTATTATTTTATTATTTATATTGTATTGAATTTTATATTGTATTGAAGAAGACGCAAAAATAGAGATCGAAATGATTTGCCGTTGAATTTTCTAAGAAATAATAAATTGTTACATACTAAGAACTTGTGTTTGCTCGAAAAAACATTCCATATTATACACACCATATTATATTGATTTATTTGTTCTGAGTCTTGTTGTTACAACATTTAATTGAAAATAAATAAAATTTTTATTGCTATAGTATTTGTATTTTTAATATTTGCTTTATAAACATAATAAACTGCTTTATAAACATAATAAACATAATAAACTGATAAATTAAGTTTTTGATACGTGCGACATACATATCGGAGTTAAATTACATTAAACGGATGATAAATGGAAAATATGTAACATGACATACCTCTGTATCCTGAAGATTTTGTAATGTCCATATGGAAAATTAAAGTGTGAAAAATGTCTCTTTCTTTCGATGATATAATATAAAATGATTATCACATGTTTTCCATACAGCAACTCCATAGTTCTGAAACGCTGCATTAAATATTAAGAACGCTATCCCCAATTATAGTTTCTCATATCATAAGATAGATCTTATTAATGTTCAAGATATAAAAATCATTTATATCTAGTCTAATAAAATAAGAGATAAAAATATTGCATCGCATTATATGTTTGTCAAACTTGCTTAAAAAATTTTTTGTATGCTTTATATTGCTTCATTATGTATGCGTTCATTGCAAAACGGAACATAACGCCATTGCATCTTTAATGCAACTTTTTATACTAGCCACAAAAAATAATAGTAGAAAAGAGATAAAATGAAATTGCATATTATACATATCTTTTAAATGTCTCTTTTAAAAATATTTTTATTACAATAAACATAAGTGAAGAACATAATATTATATCTAAATTATAAGTGGATTATAATTCGTACCTTACAATTGTTCATGCATTTTCAATGATAAAATTCAATGATAAAATTTCAGTGTCTAAGATTGCAATTTTAAGGTATGGCAGTTCTCAAAGATCTGACAATATTCATTCAATAAAATAACAAATGTTTTATATTATGCAGTGTTTCTGTTCATTGAAGGTAAGGGAGCCAACCAAAAATCTTTTCTCAAAATTAAAGTAAATGATAAAACATATATAGATATAATAACGTAAATACATTCATCTTGCCATATTAAATTGGTAAATTGCAGTTAACGCCAAAAATTTTATAAAATGTTATTATTATTAATGAATATATAATGTTATTATTATTAATGAATATATAATGAATATA